GGACACTTGAGGGCGCTTACGAGGAGCTGGCACTGGAGGGTGCTCTGGACTGGATTCGGGGACTGGAGCCCTCTCCTCTTCAGTTTGGCACTTTCGCCGCACCATATTAAGCTCACCCTCAGCCACGGTGCAGGGGGCGGAGCTCCTCTCCGCACTCACACCGTCCGCGGCTTTCTCCCTCGTGGCGGGCATTGTCGCCGACTCTCGCACCTGGTCTGACGAGTTGAGCTCTATGTCCGGGGCAATCCTCTGCTCAGTCGCTCGGCTTTGCGCGGCGGGAATCTGCTCTCTGTCATCGGTGGGCTAGGGCTGATGCTCTGCACCACGGGGAGATGGTGGGCTGGGCACTGGGTCTGGAGTGGATCTGATGAGATCATCCACGGGGCAGGATGGCGATCCGTTTCTCGCCAGAGTCCACTCCACGAAGGCAGCGAATTCCGCTCGAAGACCATCTTCGGACGACGGCACTCTGCACGCGGTCTTCAGGCTAGCGTCAGGCTACACGCAGAGCATGTCGTCCGGGTAGCTGGTAAGTTCGGCGAGGCCCAGAAACAGTCTGGTATGGTCCTCGAGTGAGCGCTCCCATTGCTCCAGCAGGAGGAGGAGGAATTTGGGGCGAATGAGGATCCACAGAAACAACGGGAACAAAAGAAAACACTGAGGAAAAAACGGAAACAAAATCGGAGAGAATACACGGAGGTAACTGTACTTGGTCAGGTCTTCTGTCACGTCAAGCTGTTGAGAGAACCCGCTGGAGTCACGAGGAAACGTTTAACAGTCTTTAATCACGAAACACAGGAGATAATCCACAATAGGATCTTGAGCCAACCCATGTAGCGAACGAGTAGACCTGACAAACACAAACTGAACAGACTTGGACTCAAGTACACAGGGAAATGAGGATAATTAACTAAACACAGCTGGAAACAAATGATGAACTAATCAAAGAACCTAATGGAAACAGGAAGGACCAAATAAGGAAACACAGGACCAGAAACAGGGGCAAAACATGACACAGAACAGTCCAGAATCCTGACAAAATTTTTATTTTCTTTCTATATATATATATATTTTAATTTTCTTTCTATATATATATATATATATATATATATATAAATGTGTGTGTGTGTATTAATTTTGTTTTTATTTTACTATTGCAAATGAAAATATTTTTTGTATAGAACTTGTTTAATAGGAGAACTAAATGTAAATGTTTAATCAAAAAATATATAAAGTATATTTTTGAAATATATTACAAATGCAACAAATTTTATTTTAACTTTATATTCATATTTATATATCTCAAATAAGATGTAAATAGTTTAATTGTTAATTTAGCTAATAAGTACAAATAATGATGGAATATAAATCGCTCTTGATATCAGCATCAGCCATTGAAAAGCTGTATTAGTGAGCACTGATCCAGACCTCTGTTGAACAGGCTGGATTCTTGACCGTGATTTATTTTCTTCTTATAGCCGTTGGAGGACTAGTACAGAACATTTCCTCGGTTAGAGTGACTTTTCTGATTTCTGTAATGCAGCTCTTTGTCATTTCCATCTCGTCTCTCTGTAGGCGGTCTGTTCCCATTCACACACTTACAGCCGTAATGCACCGAATCACCTGCTGATTCTCCAAGAAGATCATCTTACTGCACTTTGAGAAGTTCCTTCAGTTCAGACAGAATCAGCTGATGCAGTCAGATGGGTTTATATGTGTAAAATAAACATGAATTCACTTGAACTGCGCTTTACTCGGTCTCTTTACCCTGTCAGGTTGGTGGCAGTGTAGCGCGGCGGACACACAGATGCCAGCCAGAAGCATTAATCAGTGCGTGTTTGAAGAAAGTGATTCTATCAGCGATACCCTCCGCTGCTGTTTAATTGTGAAGGGCAGCACTTCACGAGAGCTTTCATTTGATTACTTAATCCAGCTCATTAAAGCACTTTGATTCGCTTGAGCCCGAGATCTGATTATGAGATCCAGAGATTCTGCTTCGCTTTTCCGTTGCTTCGCACTTTACAAAACTGCCTGCGAGTCTCAATATCGGCCAGGTCAGCAGATATATGAAACACACTCTCACACACACTTTAATGCGGAGATATTCGCTTCTACAGGAGCGTGTTTGCATGGATGATGTACAATTTCTCTCCAGTTTTTAAGAAACTAGTTTGTTCTGAGCTTTGGACCTGAAATCCAATAGTGATGATGACAGTTTTTCTGTCTGGGTTCACGTACGTTTGTGCTAACAAAAACACTTACTGTGGTTTTCATTTACTTTATGAAACGGCAGATAAGGATGGAGTCGGCGTGAGAGCGTTTCGAGTCAGTGCCGCTGCATCTTACGTTCATCAATCATGTGCTGTTGTGCTTTGCAAACTTGGAACATTTGGTTTTCTGTGATTTATTAAACACTGTTATTGCAGATGTTGTTGATTTAAATGTTATTTGGGTATCATTAGCTTGTTGGCACAATGTTTTCTCAAAAATACGAAATTGATTTATGTTTGTTGATGCATCCGTTAGACTGGGTTAAATCATAAACAAAGCACTGTGTGTTATTTTTTAACAGCTTAATTTATAGCTGGAATATGTATATTATATTCCAGCAATTACAGCAAACTAAGGACTTTCAGGAACTTGTTTAATGGGAAAAATATATAAATATTTTATGAAAAACATAAAATAAAACATGCTAAAAATATATATATTTTTTTTTCATTTTTGAAATTAATTTTTGTTTTACGTTTTAAGCACTTTTAATATTTTAATATTAATTAAAATATTAATTTAATTAATAATATTTTAATACTTTTAATTGTAATATTACTATTTTTAAATCACAGACTCTTTTCTTCAGAAAATGTGTTTAAAGAAAACTTAAATGTTCAATTAAAAAAATGTAAAATATATTTCAGGCATATATTAAAAATGCAAAGAATTTTATTTCTCTATTTGTATATATTTTTTATTTAATTTTGTCATTTTATTATACTAATAAAATGCAAATGAAAAACTCTTATACTGCTGAAAAATATATAGTTGATTTCTTATTTGTATAAAGTTAATTTCTTATATCCATCTTAAAAATGCAAATAATTTTATTAGAATTTTAAATGTATATTTATTTTAATGTTTTTATTCTTTTTTTCATTGATTGATTGTGGTGAGGCCTGTGAAAATATAGCTAAGTACAAATATGAACAGCTCAGCTGACCAAGCCAGCAGAAAAAAAACTATCCCCAAGATTTGAGCCCTGATCGCTGAAATAACATGTTATAAAAGTATAATGTATCATTTTCAATTAACTAACACAGTTGGTTGCCATGACACTTGAGACTGTACACCAGAAACGTGCTTTTGTGTTTAAAGTTGGAGCTAAATGTCAAATGAGTGCTAATATTTGCTCAAGACCTCATAAGAGGCTTCTCTGTGATATTAAACATCCCAGCAGTCTTATCCAATACAACACACCCGCCACTCCGTTATCTCCGTCCTCCTCTCCTCATTTGATTCCTCTTCTCTCCTTCATCTGATAGATTTGCCTTGGAGCCTCTCTTACCAAAGAAGCTGCACTCTAAGTCTCAGGATAAACTGGATCGAGACGAACCTGAGAAAGACAGGAAGGAGAAGAAGAAAGAGAAGAGGAACAGTAAACACCAGGAGCTGTTTGATAAGGAGCTGAAGACGGCTGAGATCCCGCTGCAGCCCAGCGAGGCGGTCATTCTGTCAGAGACGGTGAGTATCTGTCCACACAAATCCATTCACAAATAAAGACTTTCCTCTTAGCCAGGACAAGTTTCCAGTATCAGTCACTGAAAGTAAACTTACTGCATCAGGCATCCAATCACAACCAGAAGTAGAAAGCAAAGACAAAATGTTTGCTTTTGCGGCTGCAGAAAAAGAAATGTTGAAAGTAAAATAAAGAAGAACATGCAACATATCTGGCTTGCATTTCACCCCAAAATCAAAACGGAAAGGAGGAGATGACGTCTATAATCTAACAGCATTAAGATGATGTGCATTGCTTTGTTATTTTCAAGACAATTTAGTGCATTTTTACTTTTGATTTTTGTAATTCTCATTATTTCCATTACTGTGATGCAATCATTTTTAAAATAATGTAATGTAAGTGGAAAAATCATAATGCTTCATTTTTCATCACAAAAAGAAAATATCAAAATTGTATTTGCCCCCCTCTGATTTAAAACTTTAATTTAAAAAATGAAATAAAAATCTAAAATTGGATAAAAAAATTAATCAATTGAAATATCGCATTGCCAACTAACTGAAATAAAGCAAGTTGAAGTGCTGAAATTATTAAAACTTCAGTAGATTTAAAAAAGCAGAAACTATAAAAATTACAAGAATATTTACTAAAATAAAAATGAAAACAGAAAATCTTAATAAATACTATAATAGTAATAGTAAATATAATATAATAGTAAAATAATACTAAAATGACACTGATTCCCTGAAATTTGATCTGTGTTCTTGACAGGTTTGTGATATTCACATGATTTGGATGCAGTGTAAACCGAAAGACTCTCATTTGTTTGCTTTCCATTTTAACGAATCCTTCCTAGAGCAGTCCTTTTCATCTTTTTGTTTCTGTTTTTGAGGCTGTGTGTGAAATGAGGCACGCGTCTGAATCTGCACTTCAAGCTCTTTGAATATGAATAGCGCATGCACTCAAGCAGTTCTAGAACAAACAGCACGTAATAAGAATAAATTGACCCATTCAGAGCGTCTCTGACTTCACTGACTAATGTGGCATCGTGAGGGAAGTGCGTAACCTCACCGTTCTGAATAAAGAAAAACTAGCGCACATAATTACTCGGCCCTGGACCTTCTGCATAGTTTGTCTTTTATAAATCATCATAATGACCTTGACCCTTTCTATAGGCCGCTGACCTCTGCGATTCACAGCCAGCCGATAAAGCAAGAGCTGAAAAATCTGATTTACTGCCTGATTAATCTGTCATGTTAATAACAAGGCCTGCCTTGGTCATTTTTTACATCTTTAACGATCATTTTTTAATTGTTAATGTCCTTATCTGATGAAGAACAAAGAATATAAATGTTTAAATAAGTGTGTGTGTGTGCGCGCGTGTGTGTGTGTGCGTGTGTGCGTGCGTGCGTGCGTACGTGCGCACATTTTGTTTTATTTATTTTATTGTTTTTTTTTATCTGATGCCAAAAATATCTTCCTGTTAAAAATATTATTTTTTTAAATATTTATTTTAATTTCATTGACGATTCTGAGCAGCAGTTTACACTGCAGAAGTGTTTATAAATGTTTCAAATTTGTAAATATTGTATTACATTTTTTTATTGGATGTTACATTTTAATGCACATTTTCAGCACTTACCACATTAGCATAAAAGTTACTTGACTCAAATGATATGCAAAATCTAAAATGAAAAGACTAATTTTAAATAACATTTTTGTCATGATACAAAAACTGGTTCAAACTAAACCTGCTCAAATCTGCGCTGGCGTTACCTTCTATATGGATGTAAATTTTGCATCGTGCCCTATGTAGATGAGTGAAGCAGGTTCAAACGTGTCGGCAAGTTCAGGGTGACACAGAGTGACTTATTATTTGGCCGCCTTTGAAGTTTATTCTACTGATCGTATATTAATGATGGTCATTTACAACTGGAATAATTCATAAGCCTGCTGAATTATGCATTAGATAAACCTGTATGCTCATGGAAATGGACCTGAACTGTTTGAATTGCTGTTCTTTACTCTTTTACTCATCCCCCCCCACCCCCCGGTTATTATTGTATCCATCCATTTCACGTTCTTTTTCCATGGTCACAGTTAGTCTTGATTTATGGAAACCTTTCATTAGTGATTCCCAGGAAGCGCGGTTCTCTCTGTAATGTTAATCTGTCATGTTTTCCTCTCTCCAGATCAGTCCGTTGAGGCCCCAGAGGCCCAAGAGTCAAGTGATCAGCTTGCTGGGCGAGAAAAGGCTCTCGGTGTCTCCGGGAGCCCCTGCCAACCCGTCTGCGCCCAGCATCCCACCTCCCATCACGCCCCGGGCCAAACTGCAGTTCAGCTTACTGTCTGGATCCAGTATGTCATACTTCACACTGATCTGCCATTTTCCCCTCAAGCTTTATATCGAAACATGATGAAACTGAGCCAGTTTTACTAAAGCAAACAAGGGTAAAAAGTTGATAGTTGAAAAGTTTACAACAGTAACTTCAATTTACAAAAAGATCTGGCTATTTTGGGAAGAAAGCCACTCCAAAACATTTATGTGTAATTCAAAATCCAGAGCTGACATTTTGGCATCATTTGAATAAATGAAGCTGAAAGACTGCTGTAAATACGAGAAATGATCTAATCAATCACACATCTGAACACCTGCATGCTTACAGCAGTCTGCATATTTGAAATAATAGTAAATAAAAGAAAACTGGCTTTGATGTGCTGAAATGCAGCAGAACTAGTTTTGGCATCACATATTTTCCTCTGGTGTTGTTTCGTCAGCGTAATTCAGTATACTTTAGCTGTTGGAACAAATAGAGTTGTTGACAATTATCCAAGTCCTTCAGTCTGATTTACATTTATCATTTAAAGGTTTGGGGTTGGTAAGATTTTTTAATGTCTTTGAAAGCAGTTGCTTATGCTTACCTAATAATTTGGTTACAGATACAGTACATTTTAAAATAGTTTTCTATTTGAGTATATTTTAAAATGTTATTTCAAAAGAACAGTATTTATTTGAAATTTCTTTACTTTCATTTTTGATCAGTCAATTTAATTTAGCATCCTTGCTATTAATTTCTTTAGAAAAACCTCTCACTGACCCCAAACTTTTGAACTGTAGTGCATGTAGTAGTTGTACAGTAGTGTCATTTGCATACAATTATTTTCATTTTAATATTAGCTGTTAAAAAGGAAATCGTTTATGAGCTTTATTTGATGTGTTAAAAAAAACTTTTACAGTATTTTTTCTTCATTTTCCTCATGGAAATTAATGACTTGCTGTGGAAATTTCTTTCTCCTACATTACCAGCTTGTCTATAAAACATATATCAGGACAAACGCTCAAGGATTTATTTATGGACCCAGAAAAACTTTTACAATTTTTATCACAAGTACATGTAAAGAATCTTTTTTATAAAATTGTATCAAATGTTTGTTTTACTTCTATTGCATTTAGGATATTATGTTGCTGAATGTTTTATTTGTATCTGCCATGTAACAGCCGGTGAATTTAAATAATTGAAATAACCCTCAAAATACGACACGTTTGCTGACGTGATCTGCTCGGGCTCATGCTGTAGTCTGATGACACACAAACGTAACGCTGTGGTGTGAGACGCAGGACTCTGGGAGGCTGCAGAGGTGTTAAAGAACTCCGATGAAAGCGTGTCTGATCTGGTCTCCCACTCGCCGCTTGTGAAGATGTATAATGGATTCAGACTCTAGTGCGAGGCGTTTACTCTCCCATGGGTTCAGCCCACGGTCTGAATTCTGAGTTTGCACCGCATGTCATCATCTGTGCTAGAACCACTCCTCAAACAACAGATTTACAATCAGTTTAATCTTTTAAAAAGGATTTAGACAAAGTAACAATGTCATGCATCATAATATTGATCTCAACAGCGCTTTGTCTTGTTTCTACACAGATCTGGAACTGAATGGGACGGGTTATGGAGATAAGGGCGAAACTCCGCCCCCACTTCCTGTCAAGAGCAGCATGGGCGACTACGGAAACCTGATGGACAACTCAGACCTGGCCAGTCCGACCACGCCCCCTCCTCCACTGCCACACCAGCGGGTATAGCACATCGTCCATATCCATCAAAGACCGACATACATGTTTATGCAGCTCTTTACTGCTTGATCTTCATTTCCATTATTTTTACATGACCATTAGTGGTTAAAAATCCATTAAGAAGTCTATTCCTGTTGTTCAGCTCTGAGGATCGTCAGGTGACTGCCTTCAGAGGCAGAACAAGTAGAAGAAGTGTAGTGTTATATTGAGGCTGTTGCGGCGGCAGTGTTTGTCAGTGTACTGAATGCTGACACAGTGAGACTCTTCTCATCGCAGATGTCTGAATGAACAGTGTGTGAAGCGGTCAGGATGTGTGTGACGGTCAAACGGAGCTTGACCAGAGTGGCTGAAGATGCCCTTGATCAGCTGCTCGTCTCTGGGTCGTTTTCTCTCTGCAGGCTTTTACTTTTAAGAAATCCCAGATACTGTTTAATTAACCCATAACCTGATCTTCTCTGCAGCTGCTGGAAGTTCTGTCAAATGTGAGTGTTAAAGGTTGAAACAGCTTGAAGTTCTTTGCTCCAGGACTACTATTATTTTATCATACACTTATCAAATACACAAACAAAAGTTTGGGTCAGTAAGATTTTGTTAAGGTTTTTGAAAGAAGTCTCTTATGCTCAACAAGGCTGCATTTATTTGATCAAAAATACACTAATATTGTGAAATATTGCACTTTCAAATAACTGTTTTCTATTTGAATATACTTTAAAATGTCATTTATTCCTGTGATGCAAAGTTTAGTTTTCAGAAATCATTCTAATGTGCTGATGTGGTGCACAAGAGACATTTCTTTAATAATTTTATGGAAACCATGAACAGCATTTATTTGAATATTGTCTTTCAATGCATCCTTGCTGAATTAAAATATTAATTTCTTTTTACTTTTAAATCATACTGAACCCAAACATTTATCAAATGTTTATATTTTCCACTTTTTTTCTCTATTTTTTATTGTTTTTACTGTATTATCAATTCAATCACTTATTATTATTACTCATAGTTACTTAAAGTTGTAGATTAGACATATATTTAATAAAAATATATTACATTGATAATATGTGACCCTGGAGCACAAAAGCAGTCTTAAGTCGCTGGGGTATATTTGTAACAATAGCCAAAAATACATTGTATGGGTCAAAATTATAAATTTTTCTTTTATGCCAAAAATCATTAGGATATTAAGTAAAGATCATGTTCCTTGAAGTTATTTTGTAAATTTCCAACTGTAAATATATCAAAACTTAATTTTTGATTAGTAATATGCATTGCTAAGAACTTAATTTGAACAAATTTAAAGGCGATTTTCTCAATATTTAGATTTTTTTTGCACCCTCAGATTCCAGATGTTCAAATAGTTGTATCTCAGCCAAATATTGTCCCATCATAACAAATCAATGGAAAGCTTATTAATGCAGCTTTCAGATGATGTATTAATCTCAATTTCAAAAAATTGACCCTTATGACTGGTTTTGTGGTCCAGGGTCACATACAGTGGGTACGGAAAGTATTCAGACCCCCTTAAATTTTTCGCCCTATGTAGATGAGTGAAGCAGGTTCAAACGTGTCGGCAAGTTCAGGGTGACACAGAGTGACTTATTATTTGGCCGCCTTTGAAGTTTATTCTACTGATCGTATATTAATGATGGTCATTTACAACTGGAATAATTCATAAGCCTGCTGAATTATGCATTAGATAAACCTGTATGCTCATGGAAATGGACCTGAACTGTTTGAATTGCTGTTCTTTACTCTTTTACTCATCCCCCCCCACCCCCCGGTTATTATTGTATCCATCCATTTCACGTTCTTTTTCCATGGTCACAGTTAGTCTTGATTTATGGAAACCTTTCATTAGTGATTCCCAGGAAGCGCGGTTCTCTCTGTAATGTTAATCTGTCATGTTTTCCTCTCTCCAGATCAGTCCGTTGAGGCCCCAGAGGCCCAAGAGTCAAGTGATCAGCTTGCTGGGCGAGAAAAGGCTCTCGGTGTCTCCGGGAGCCCCTGCCAACCCGTCTGCGCCCAGCATCCCACCTCCCATCACGCCCCGGGCCAAACTGCAGTTCAGCTTACTGTCTGGATCCAGTATGTCATACTTCACACTGATCTGCCATTTTCCCCTCAAGCTTTATATCGAAACATGATGAAACTGAGCCAGTTTTACTAAAGCAAACAAGGGTAAAAAGTTGATAGTTGAAAAGTTTACAACAGTAACTTCAATTTACAAAAAGATCTGGCTATTTTGGGAAGAAAGCCACTCCAAAACATTTATGTGTAATTCAAAATCCAGAGCTGACATTTTGGCATCATTTGAATAAATGAAGCTGAAAGACTGCTGTAAATACGAGAAATGATCTAATCAATCACACATCTGAACACCTGCATGCTTACAGCAGTCTGCATATTTGAAATAATAGTAAATAAAAGAAAACTGGCTTTGATGTGCTGAAATGCAGCAGAACTAGTTTTGGCATCACATATTTTCCTCTGGTGTTGTTTCGTCAGCGTAATTCAGTATACTTTAGCTGTTGGAACAAATAGAGTTGTTGACAATTATCCAAGTCCTTCAGTCTGATTTACATTTATCATTTAAAGGTTTGGGGTTGGTAAGATTTTTTAATGTCTTTGAAAGCAGTTGCTTATGCTTACCTAATAATTTGGTTACAGATACAGTACATTTTAAAATAGTTTTCTATTTGAGTATATTTTAAAATGTTATTTCAAAAGAACAGTATTTATTTGAAATTTCTTTACTTTCATTTTTGATCAGTCAATTTAATTTAGCATCCTTGCTATTAATTTCTTTAGAAAAACCTCTCACTGACCCCAAACTTTTGAACTGTAGTGCATGTAGTAGTTGTACAGTAGTGTCATTTGCATACAATTATTTTCATTTTAATATTAGCTGTTAAAAAGGAAATCGTTTATGAGCTTTATTTGATGTGTTAAAAAAAACTTTTACAGTATTTTTTCTTCATTTTCCTCATGGAAATTAATGACTTGCTGTGGAAATTTCTTTCTCCTACATTACCAGCTTGTCTATAAAACATATATCAGGACAAACGCTCAAGGATTTATTTATGGACCCAGAAAAACTTTTACAATTTTTATCACAAGTACATGTAAAGAATCTTTTTTATAAAATTGTATCAAATGTTTGTTTTACTTCTATTGCATTTAGGATATTATGTTGCTGAATGTTTTATTTGTATCTGCCATGTAACAGCCGGTGAATTTAAATAATTGAAATAACCCTCAAAATACGACACGTTTGCTGACGTGATCTGCTCGGGCTCATGCTGTAGTCTGATGACACACAAACGTAACGCTGTGGTGTGAGACGCAGGACTCTGGGAGGCTGCAGAGGTGTTAAAGAACTCCGATGAAAGCGTGTCTGATCTGGTCTCCCACTCGCCGCTTGTGAAGATGTATAATGGATTCAGACTCTAGTGCGAGGCGTTTACTCTCCCATGGGTTCAGCCCACGGTCTGAATTCTGAGTTTGCACCGCATGTCATCATCTGTGCTAGAACCACTCCTCAAACAACAGATTTACAATCAGTTTAATCTTTTAAAAAGGATTTAGACAAAGTAACAATGTCATGCATCATAATATTGATCTCAACAGCGCTTTGTCTTGTTTCTACACAGATCTGGAACTGAATGGGACGGGTTATGGAGATAAGGGCGAAACTCCGCCCCCACTTCCTGTCAAGAGCAGCATGGGCGACTACGGAAACCTGATGGACAACTCAGACCTGGCCAGTCCGACCACGCCCCCTCCTCCACTGCCACACCAGCGGGTATAGCACATCGTCCATATCCATCAAAGACCGACATACATGTTTATGCAGCTCTTTACTGCTTGATCTTCATTTCCATTATTTTTACATGACCATTAGTGGTTAAAAATCCATTAAGAAGTCTATTCCTGTTGTTCAGCTCTGAGGATCGTCAGGTGACTGCCTTCAGAGGCAGAACAAGTAGAAGAAGTGTAGTGTTATATTGAGGCTGTTGCGGCGGCAGTGTTTGTCAGTGTACTGAATGCTGACACAGTGAGACTCTTCTCATCGCAGATGTCTGAATGAACAGTGTGTGAAGCGGTCAGGATGTGTGTGACGGTCAAACGGAGCTTGACCAGAGTGGCTGAAGATGCCCTTGATCAGCTGCTCGTCTCTGGGTCGTTTTCTCTCTGCAGGCTTTTACTTTTAAGAAATCCCAGATACTGTTTAATTAACCCATAACCTGATCTTCTCTGCAGCTGCTGGAAGTTCTGTCAAATGTGAGTGTTAAAGGTTGAAACAGCTTGAAGTTCTTTGCTCCAGGACTACTATTATTTTATCATACACTTATCAAATACACAAACAAAAGTTTGGGTCAGTAAGATTTTGTTAAGGTTTTTGAAAGAAGTCTCTTATGCTCAACAAGGCTGCATTTATTTGATCAAAAATACACTAATATTGTGAAATATTGCACTTTCAAATAACTGTTTTCTATTTGAATATACTTTAAAATGTCATTTATTCCTGTGATGCAAAGTTTAGTTTTCAGAAATCATTCTAATGTGCTGATGTGGTGCACAAGAGACATTTCTTTAATAATTTTATGGAAACCATGAACAGCATTTATTTGAATATTGTCTTTCAATGCATCCTTGCTGAATTAAAATATTAATTTCTTTTTACTTTTAAATCATACTGAACCCAAACATTTATCAAATGTTTATATTTTCCACTTTTTTTCTCTATTTTTTATTGTTTTTACTGTATTATCAATTCAATCACTTATTATTATTACTCATAGTTACTTAAAGTTGTAGATTAGACATATATTTAATAAAAATATATTACATTGATAATATGTGACCCTGGAGCACAAAAGCAGTCTTAAGTCGCTGGGGTATATTTGTAACAATAGCCAAAAATACATTGTATGGGTCAAAATTATAAATTTTTCTTTTATGCCAAAAATCATTAGGATATTAAGTAAAGATCATGTTCCTTGAAGTTATTTTGTAAATTTCCAACTGTAAATATATCAAAACTTAATTTTTGATTAGTAATATGCATTGCTAAGAACTTAATTTGAACAAATTTAAAGGCGATTTTCTCAATATTTAGATTTTTTTTGCACCCTCAGATTCCAGATGTTCAAATAGTTGTATCTCAGCCAAATATTGTCCCATCATAACAAATCAATGGAAAGCTTATTAATGCAGCTTTCAGATGATGTATTAATCTCAATTTCAAAAAATTGACCCTTATGACTGGTTTTGTGGTCCAGGGTCACATACAGTGGGGAAAAAAAAGTATTTAGTCAGCCACCAATTGTGCAAGTTCTCCCACTTAAAAAGATGAGAGAGGCCTGTAATTTTCATCATAGGTATACCTCAACTATGAGAGACAAAATGACAGTTCTTGTGATCATTTTGACCCCACGGGGTGAGATCTTGCATGGAGCCCCAGATCGCGGGAGATTATCAGTGGTCTTGTATGCCTTCGTTTTTCTAATAATTGCTCCCACAGTTGATTTTTTCACACCAAGCTGCTTACCTATTGTAGATTCAGTCTTCCCAGCCTGGTGCAGGTCTACAATTTTGTTTGTGGTGTCCTTTGACAGCTCTTTGGTCTTGGCCATGGTGGAGTTTGGAGTGTGACTGTTTGAGGTTGTGGACAGGTGTCTTTTATACTGATAACGAGTTCAAACAGATGCCATTAATACAGGTAACGAGTGGAGGACAGAGGAGCCTCTTAAAGAAGTTACAGGTCTGTGAGAGCCAGAAATCTTGCTTGTTTGTAGGTGACCAAATACTTATTTTACCGAGGAATTTACCAATTAATTATTTAAAAATCCTACAATGTGATTTTCTGGATTTTTTTTTCTCATTTTGTCTCTCATAGTTGAGGTATACCTATGATGAAAATTACAGGCCTCTCTCATCTTTTTAAGTGGGAGAACTTGCACAATTGGTGGCTGACTAAATACTTTTTTGCCCCACTGTATATGAAAAGGAACTATATACTGTATATATATATATGTATTTCATTCATTGTTGCTTTCATTTATCAGTCATATCAAGAGACCAGATTATCACAGAGACTTTATTTTTATTATTTACTCAGTCTCTATCACTCTATTATTACTGCTTAAAGTAATATATGAAAAGGAACAAAATATAAATAATATAAATAAAATATTAAAATAACTCGTGTTTTAAAAATGTCACTTCTCTTTTCCTCATTTTCCCAGCACCTTCCGCCTCCGTTACCCAGCAAGACCCCTCCTCCTCCCCCTCCAAAGACCACTCGAAAGCAGACCTCCATTGATTCGGGAATCGTCCAATAAGCGAGAAGACGGCATCGTCAAACAGAGACATCCGCATCGGCCCTCTTCCAATGATTTAACGTCAACATCCCTGACAGTATGGCATGATGAATACCTCACCTCAGCCCCACTCATAACTGATTATTGTCCACTGCGAGACCACCACTCTGAGCCTCCACCCCACTGACAATACAAGCTCGGAGACGCAGTGCATTTCACATCACTCCAGGCGTCAGACCACAGCACATATAAATGCAGTGTAACTGGAGTCAGGGTATTCTGGGTATTTTTGGCAGATGATGCATGTTTAACTAAAGCTCCACTTGAGATGAATTGAGGGTTTTCTCTCTTTAGGCAGGAAGACACTTATTATGCACATTATCATTGAGACACGTGACCAATTCAAACCATTTTGGTGTTGCATAATCAAAGTTTTCTTTTTCTCTCATTTTTACATGATATTTTTATCCTCAATATTTACACATTTATGTACAGAGGTTTGTATATATGATTTTATTTGATTGTTTTCTTGAAAGTACATTTTATACTTTTTTTTTTTTTCTCACAGTTTATAAAAATTGGCATTTTATCCAAAAAGGGCTTAAATTTTTTTTATTAAGAGAGGGACAGTAAAGATATTCTTACGTGTATCTTTTATTGATTTTGTGTTGTTGTTGTTGTTCGTTCTCATTTGGAGTGAAAACAACTAAAAGTCATTGTACCAATCAAGCATATAATCCACATAAAAGTATATCGATAACATTGACTGCTCCAAATCCACTACTGACTTCTGAATAAACTCAATCTATTTGTAAAGTGCCTCTCGTTTGATGCTAATTAATCCAGTGCAATGTAGACATTTAGCAGATATCAGGTTTGTTCTGTCAGAATGGCATCATCCAGTAAGGCTCTCTGCTGTGTGTGATGTTACCGCAGGTTAACCGATGCAAAACAAGACAACGCTGTCTGGAAAGTGAGGGAAGTTGAGTCTGATTTGAGTTCATTTATTAAATCACTGCTTGTTGTAACTGACTCATAAGCTCAGTGATCAAGTCCTTTCGTTTGCTACGTTTTCCATTTAGCTTTTTAGTATAACGTGGAGCTGAATCTCAATGACATTGATTGTGAAAATGGCGGACATGTTTGCATCATAAAGACTGCCAGCTTTCACTTTACTAAAAGGGTTTTGAAAATAGCAAAGCCTTGCATTGACTCGTACATGCATAATCAATGCAGCATCTGTTATGAGCAGAGGGAGTAAATATGCTGGAGAACATGTTTTGTATGTTCAAGGTCACTTTCGTCGCACATCCAGTCAGAATTACTGCTCTAGTCTGTCAGTCAGCTGATTTACTGTAATTCTGATGTTCGTTATGAAGTAATTGGTCTTGAACACAGCACTCACCATCTAAAAACAACAAATTATGCAGATCACACTGGGTTGGGTTTTGGTGCTTGTTTGGTGTTTGTTACATGGATCATTTGTGTGTTCATGCAGAACATTTTGGAGTCTGCAATTTTTAAATGGGCTTTTTGTATTTAAAGACTTTTTTTAAAAGACACTTTTGGGTTGAAAGGAATAGTTCACCCCAAAATGGAAATTGTATTAAATTTTACTCAATCTTAGGATGTTCAAGATGTAGATGAGTTTGTTTCTTCATCAGATTTGGAGAAATGTAGCATTGCATCACTTGCTCAGCAATGGATGCTCTGCAGTGAATGGGTGCCGTCAGAATGAGAGTCCAAACAGCTGAGAAAAGCATCACAATAATCCACACCACTCCAGTCCATCAGTCCATGTCTTGTGAAGTGAAAAACTATTTGTAAGAAACAAAACCATCATCAAGGCGTTTAACTTCAAACCGTTGTTTCCAGCTAAAATCCGAGTCGTCTCATCTAAATCAGGAGAGAAATCTGCACAGATCAAGCACCGTTTATAAGTGAAAACGGTCCAAAACAGCACTAAACAAATATGTTTGTGGATTTTGATGTGAGAGACAACAGGAGATGGATATTTACACTGGTGCAAGCATTATGGATTATGGATTTTTAACCAAAAGCGGTTAAAAGGTTTAGTAAAAAAAAAAAAACTCTTCATGGATTTTTCTCTTACAAAGAGTTTTTCTCTTCACATGATGTTAAGTGATGGACTGGAGTGGTGTGGATTATTGTGATGTTTTTATCAGCTGTTTAGACTCTCATTCTGACGGCACCCATTCACTGCAGAGGAGCCATTGCTGAGCAAGTGATGCAAAACTTCATTTCTCCACATCTGATGAAGAAACAAACTCCTCTACATCTTGGAAGGCCTACAACTTTTAAAAATTGTTGCTATCCAACTTAATTGTGTAACTAAGTTAAGTTTTGTATTCACAGTTGTGAATGGGACATGATAATGTAGTGCACGGCAGGAATGACCCATGTGCGTTTATGTAAATGTGTGTTTGAGATGGTGCTGTTGGGTCACCGGGAACTGAAGAACATGTGAAATGATAGAGAACAAGATAAACAGTCACAGAAACGTCCTGACATTAATGCCCGACTGAGTCAGTTTCCCACGGTACGCTATCAACATCTAACCTGATTAATCCAGCTGAAGATTCCCTTTGAAAGGAAAGCTCATATTCAGGCATTTCATGATCAAATTCCAGGCTGAGCTTCAGATAAGTAGCTTAGTTTTTTCTTCAAAAGATATGTTTTTATTATTTTATTTTTTTTACTTAGTATCACATCACACAGAACTGAAATAAACCCAAAGTTATATTTTATGCTTCATTGAGCAGTATGGCTGCATTAATTTAGCAGAATGTGTTTCCATGAAACAAATGACTTTGTTGTTTATTAGAGAATGCTGGGAAAATATCCTGCTGGACTCTCAGTTGTTTTCCCTAATGTTAATTACTGAATTATTGAGGCCTAATACAACAGCTACAGCTAATTAAATCCAACTTTCTTTTTAAACCAGAGGCAGAAAATAATTTAACTCGGTTAATTCCAAATGTTTTCCATGCATTTAAGTGAGAACTAATGTGTTTTGCTCCTTGAATAGTCCAGTGAACCGAATTGCATGTCTTTGCAAGTTTTTAAGAAGTTAATAATAATATTTCTCATTTTCATTTAGTTTAACTTGATGTGCTAGAATAACCAAAACTGAAATACAATGTATATAGATGTTTAAAAAAACATTTACTAATAAAAATTACCAAAAAGAATTCTAAAACATCAACTAAAATAAAAATTAAAACTATTAAATTAAAACAAATTCAAAATATTAATAAAAACCTTAAAAAGGCATTTTTGTTACTTGAATTAAATGTTAACTTAAAATATTTAAGAATAAATCAATAATAAACAAACTTCTTTCATTTTTATTTTTCATTTAGAGTAAACTGATGTTCAAAAATAGCTAAAACTGAAAAAAAATGAATTATATAGACATAACATTAACAACAAAACACTTAAAAATCAACTAAAATGAAAATGGAAAATGGAAAATTAAAAACAAATTCAAAAATATGAATGAAAATTATAACATCTCAGTGATAGCAAATAACGCTGGTGCAACTTTGATTAAAAATGAACTAGAGCAATCTTGTTTTCTTGTACCACATATGGTGATTGTATTTGTTATTTTGTTTAATGCTCTCTCATAGGAATTAAACAGCTCTGCTCACGTCATTTATAGACTGCTCTTCTATAACTCGTTTTAGATCCTCGAGGCTCATATGTTGACCGACTCTTCTGTCTGACATCCATATCAGAAATCTTCTGTGCCTCATTTTAAGTGTGTTCGGTATACGTGTCGGATCACAGGTGATGAAACCGTCACCTTGCGAGAAAAGATGATTACATTTGCTTAAGCAATTTACAAGGCCAGCGGTGAAATAAACGTGGAGAACAAACCCAGTATCATTATGTGCTGAAATATAATCTCTGGTCAGGAAATCAATAACAGGCCGTAAGTCAGTGTGAAATGATGTCCTGCCACGGCAGATTGAGTATGCCAGCGCGTAATGTATTGCCTTCACTTTTGATTGACAATAAACAATAATTGTAATGCAAAAGCAAAGCTTCAACCAAAGCTGCACACTAACCGTCTCAGATGTCGACCCGTATAAACGTCTTGTTACCGACAGATGCTTTGAGTCTCCTTTATTGAAATTCCTTTGCTGTTCTATGAATCACTTTGAGCTGTTCTGATTTTAATATAACTGATATATATATATTCATACAGGAGGGGCCGAAGGCTAAATTGAATCCATATTTCACTGTGATTGTGTTTGGTCTCTGTGGTGCGGCTCTGATTGGAGGGAACATCCTCCATTGAACCTCATCTCCAGCGTTCTCATAAACCTCGTCTGTGTACAAATACAGATACAAAAACGGCTCTCTTATGTAATGCTGGGGTGAATTTAGGTAAACTGGCCTGCTTTTTGCCATCCGTCTCAATAAATCACTCACAGACCCAAATTCACCTTTCATACTTCAATACAAGTCTCACAAAATCTCTCCAGCTCGCATTTCTCCCTGAAATTAATCCATTGATTGATTGACTGACTGATTGATGCATGCATGTTTCTTAGGGATGCACCGATATGAAAATTTTGCCCGATACCGATAACCGATTGTTCTTTATTTTTGAAAGCCGATAACCGATATGTTGGCCGATAAATCTATATCCAAATTGTTATATACTTTTTGAGAGCCTGATTACAAAAAAAGGTCTCATCATTAAAAGCCACATCCCGAACACTTCAACATTAGCAGCCTAGTTTGAACGGTGTATGTTTCAAAAATATTTTTACGCTCCCATTACCAAATTTAGTCATAAAGTCTTATTCTTTATTTATTGATGTATGTATTTATGCATTATCATTATTATGTAAGGACTAATTGATTACGGGCCGTTGAATTATTAGAAAATAATGCACAGCCGAGGTGGTGATGCAGTCACGACTCGCAGTTTTTTTTTTGTGTGTGTTATTCCAATAATGCAACTGCCCGTCGTCAATTATTGCTCTTTTGTTTTTTTTCATGTTTACTGATTCTATTTTATTTTTATTGTATTTTATATATATATTGAAAAACTACATTTGTTTTAGTGCACTGTTCTTTCAACAGGGTTTTCAGTGCATTTTAATACTTGGTTTAGGTGCAGAAACTCTGTCATTTTAGTTTGTTTGCACTCATTTTTATTCTTTTGTTTTCTAGCTGTACTGCATGTCATTTTGGATAAATATTGTTTATGGTTTTATTAATGCTCTGATTTGAGCAGTTTGTGCTCACTCAGTTTTCTTCTGTATCAGTGCTGAATTATGAATGTCTGACATTGTAGATTTTACTTTTGTCTTGCAGGTATCGATCACCTCGTGGTGTTTTATTGCAGGTCCCATTACAGCAGCAGATCGGTGAGAAAAGCAAAGACAGACTCGTTTCCACTGCAGATCTCACTGTCTCAGCAGGTGGACTCAGTCCTT